GCGCGCGCGGCATGTCTCCGTACCTTAGGCTTTTTTTTCAGCTCCTCTGATTTTCTTTCTGGTTTTCTCTTTCCTTCTTGTTGTAGAAATTTCAGTCAGTCGACTACCTGTAGCTCTGGGCAATGTCCACTCTACATTTTAGTTGTATTCCATTGAAATTGTTGTGTGCTGCCGCGGCTAGATGTCTACCCGAGCAGCCATCTTGGATCCTCTTCTAAAGGCTGATAAATTTTTAAAAATAGCAAACACCTTCACTGTTAGAGCCTTTGACGTTTAAGAATCATAGTACCGCCAAAACCGGTTTGGCTCAGTGGATAGAGCGTCAGCCCGCGGACTGAAAGGTCCCGGGTTCGATTCTGGTCAAGGGCATGTTCTTGGTTGCATGCACATCCCCAGTAGGGGGTGTGCAAGAGGCAGCTGATTGATGATTCTCATCGATGTTTCTGACTATCTTTCTCTCTATAAAAAATCAATAAAATATATTTTTAAAAAAAGTTAAGTAGCCTTCAAATGGTTAATAAATGGCAAAGCTGGGATTCTAAAGTTCTCTCTCTGAGTCTGCATTCTGCTACTCTGCAGTTGGGATTGTTATACTGTACATAAGTGCATGGAGGAACTGAAAGACTCACAAGAGAACTCTTGACTGAATTGAGGTAAAGAGGTAGGTAAATGGTAAATGTGGTTGTTCCACGGTCATTTGTTTGTACCTTTATTATGTTATTAAATATAGTCTGTCTTGTATTATTTTTATTTTTACATATGTGACTCCTTCACTGGATTGTGAATTAGTGGAGAGCAGAGGCCATGGCTGTCTTATGTATCTTGGCAACTACTTCAAATTCATTTTCAAATAGGCTAGGCATTCTTTTTTTTAAAGTTGTTTTTATTTTATTTTAAAGTACCCTGCATGGCCTCCTTCATATAGGTTCTCAGTAAATGTTTGATTTAAATTGATCCCAAATCTCTTAGGTCCTACAGTTGAAGAAACTGGTGGTGTAGCCCATTTCCCAGAAGTTCTCTTCAGTGGGTTGAGCAGGTCTGAAGGGCCCAGTGACAAAGTAGCTGAGAAGCCAGCATTCATCCTTTTCTTTCCATTAAGTGTGGTAGGAATACAAGCATAGCAGTGGGAATTAGGTTTGGCTTAGCTTAGCCATAGTTAAAGAAATACTGAAGGAGGCTCCCTCTGCAGTTTGCATGAACACACCTTACCTCCTCCTCTTCCCTCAAGACCCACACTGCTCGCTCTCTCACCAACGGCTCTTCTTTTGCCTCTAACTTGTTCCTGAGCCCACAGGGCCAAGCTGGCTCACTTTTTTTTTTTTTTTTTTTTTACCTCAGTGACTTTCTAAATAAACTTTCCTTGTATTTGAAAAACAAAAATGCTGAGGGAGATTGGTGTTGGTAAGGTGGACTAGAAGTTAAAATACTTCTGTTCTCTACCTGGTCATTACTACTTTCTAATTTTGTGAGTTTGCACAAGTAACTTAATATCTATGAGCTTCAAATTCCTCATTTACATTACAGAGAGAAATAGTTTCAAGGCCAATGCAACCTCTAATCTGAAGATAGTAAATTCATTTTATCCAAGTCCTGAGTTTAGTTGAAATAATTACTGAATCCCCCTGCCCTCTCCTAACACGCACGCACGCACGCACGCACGCTATTTGATTAATTATTCTAGGGTCACCAGAACAAACTGTGATCATTTACAGCAGGTGCCATTCTGTTAATTTCAACTCTGCATCCTAGGAGACACAGTTATGGAAACACCTGGTGCTGGAAATAGGCCTTTTCCTAACTGAACAGTTGAGTGCATCAATTCTGGAGCACATTAACCTTTCCTTTTGGGAGAGGCCAAATTAAGGTCTATTATAATATTTCTTCAGAAGATCATAATGTGACACTGGAGCTTCAGGACTGAAAAGTGAGATTGTCTTAATTAACAACAGCAAGGTGATTTGGGTTCCAACTTCCAGATGCTATTTTGTTTGTTGGAGTGTTGTGCCCTTTAATAATGTTACCCAGTATGAGACATCTTAGCTCTTTTTCTAGAACCTTAGAACAAGTGCCTTTGGTTGGTTCAGAAAGAAGGGGGTTGCTTATATTGTAATTAAAATTTCAGCCCTGACCATTTGGCTCAATGGATAGAGCATTGGCCTGTGGACTCAGGGTCCCAGGTTTGATTCTGGTCAAGGGCATATACCTTGGTTGTGGGCACATACCCAGTGAGGAGTGTGCAAGAGGCAGCTGATTGATATTTCTAACTCTCTATTCCTCTCCCTTTCTCCCTGTAAAATATCAATAAAATATATTTAAAAATAAAATAAATTTTCTGCCGAAGCCCATTAGGCTCAGTGGTAGAGCGTCAGTCTGCGGACTGAAAGGTTCCGGGTTCGATTCTGGTCAAGGGCATGTACGTTGGCAGCTGGTCGATGTTTCTCTCTCATCGATGTTTCTAGCTCTCTATCTCTCTCCCTTCCTCTTTGTAAAAAATCAATAAAATATATTTAAAAATAAAATAAAATTTCAAGTCACCTTTTTTATCCACATGATCCTGTTTTATAGAGGACCATGTGAACTTAGGTAAGCACTTCATGTCTCTAATCTTTACTTTTCTCATTTGAAAAACGAAGGGGTTGAACAAGCTAATCTCTAAGATCCTTCCTCCAGTTCTACCTTGTTTTGATTTTAAATGCTAGTACCTGCCTGATTATACTGGGTTTTGTTTTGTTTTGTTTTGTTTTGCGGGACTTTCTGGTCTCTACCCTAGCATAGCATGTTCATCAGTGTAAAACTTTTGGTTTTTAACCCATTCTTTTATTTTTAAAAAATGTTTTTGCTGATTTTAGAGAGTGAGAAACATTGATGAAAGAGAAACATTGATTGACTGCCTCCTGCACACCCCCTACTAGGAATCGGATCCACAACCTAGGGATGCATCCTGACTGGAGAATGAAAATTTTAATCTAGTGTTATCCTAACATTGAAGTGGGTAATAATGCTGTTTGGTAAAGTAGGAGGCACTGGTCCAGGAGTCAAGGGACCTCGGATCTGTACCTATCTTGTATCTAAATTAGTTTTATGCCTTTCTGTGCTTCAGTGTCTTGGACTGTCAATTCTTAAAAAGCTAAAATTTATTGAATGTACATTGGGTGCCAGATACCAGTGCTCGGTGCTTTGTGTACATCAGTTGTTACCTGCAGCAGCAAAGTTACTACAAGAGGAACTTAGACCCCGAAATGCAAGTTGTGCTCAGATCCCACGGGTGAGAAGTGGGAGAGCTGGAATTAAAGGCCACATCTTTCACTCCAAAGCCTGTGCTCTTTCTACACCTGTGCTATTTCACCTTGTCTGCAACATGGGAATCTTCCCTTTATGCTTCCTAAGATTGTTGCCAGGAGCAGATAAGATATCACCTGTCACATTGCTTTTGGCTGCTAGGATTTTATAGTTAAAGAGAATGCAGAAGCAGTTTTAATATAGTTAAAACTTTAGTTTTAGTTCAGATCCCAATAATGTCATTTACTAGATTGGAATATTGGTCAGATAACAGTCTCTCCACACATCAGTTTTGTCATCTATCAGATGAGGATTATAAGAGTATAAACATCATCTGCTGTCAGGATTCTGTAAAGCACTTTAGTGTTTACTTGTATTGTGAGTGTCCTATATAATAAAAGAGTAATATGCAAATTGATCCTAACAGCGGATGACTGGTTGCGGTGATGCATATTGGTCACCAGGGGGCAGACACTCAATGCAGGCTCTACCCCTGGTAGTCAGTGCACACCACAGGGTGAACTGTTTAGCCACAAGCTGGGCTGATGGCTGCGAGCGCAGGGGCAGTGGTGGCAGCACTAAGGATGTCTGACTGCCTAAGCTGCAGTCAAACATCTCCTGAGGGTTGTTGGGCTGCCAAAGGGATATCTGACTGCCAGCTTAGGCCCAATCCCCGGGGAAGCAGGCCTAAGCTGGCAGGTGGACATCCCCTCAGGGACCCCGGACTGCGAGAGGGCGCAGGCCAGGCTGACGGATGCCTCCTAAGTGCATTGGGCCTCTAGTTAATTATATATTAGTGAATAGCAGTACAGCAGATGTTGTCTTATTCCTTCCCCTTATAGTTGTGAAGCTGAAAGAGTGAACAACTAATAAAAGTCACTGAAAAAAGTAAAGTTTATATGTATAAGATTGTATTGGATATTTTACAAAAGTAATGAATTTAAGATAAATATAGTATGTAGTGACAACTTTAATCCCAATCCACAGGTGAGAAGGGTGGGCTAGAAGAAAGAGGGGAGGAGAGAGAGGTAGTCTGGAATAATTACTTGGCAAGGGATCTGGGTCAATCATTCTATTACATACTGCACAGTAGTACATAGACTGATCAAACCTCTAACCCCTCCATCTTAGGCCAGCTCTGTATAAGAATTGAGGACAACTCTTTTCTCTCTCTGATTATATCTTTTCTGTTTCAGTTGTCTGTGTATTGGCTTATTATCTAATTATCTTGATAAAACTCTGACTCTGGTTTGAAGTGAATTAACCATACACCCATAGGCTGTTTGGTCTGGTTTGATTTGAAGTAGGAAAAAGGGATGTCCTACATGATTTATCCCATATTGTTAAGAGTTCTCTGTATTGGGATTGGAGCTGTCAGTCCCAGCTAGTATAAAGTGTAACTTTATTACCTGATTTCCTGCTGTTTGTTCCCTTTGTTCACATAATTTGGAGATTTAAATTGGTGTGGGATTCAGGCATTCCTGGGTACTGTCATAGCATCTGACAATAGTCCAATGTCACTAATGTTTGAGGTCACACGTATTTGTCAATCTAAATTTTTTACAGAATAAGAATGTTTGACAGAACATCATTGTTACGCAGTTTTGCAGCAGACAGACAGGCAGTCAATATCAAGTAGAAATTCAGGGAGACTAGGTTAAATGCTACAGAAGAGAGACTCATTTGTGAGACATTGATTCTTTTCTTTTTTATCTTTATAGGTTGCTATGGTGACAGACTATGGAGCCTTTATCAAAATCCCAGGCTGTCGGAAGCAAGGTGGGAGCCTATAACTTGAAATTTAGCCTTCCCACCGCATTGCCTTTGCTGTCACCCCCACCACATCCTAATTATAGGCTCTACATTTTTAGATAATTTTGTTTTTGTGTACAGATGTAAATACAGACAAGTGATGACAGTTAATTTTTAGCACATTATAAATGGTGTTCTCTGACCTGGAGGGAGGGTTGGGGTACAGCTACTTTGGTTCACTTCTGGAACCAGCTCTTCCTCAAATTTCACCTGTGACCCCAGGCAAGTCACAGGTTGAGAACTGCTGCTGTAGAGCCTAAGACCATCGGAAAACAGATATTTACATTACAATTCATAACAGTAGCAAAATTACAGTTATGAAGTAGCAACGAAAATAATTTTATGGTCAAAACCAGTTTGGCTCAGTGGGTAGAGTTTCGGTCTGCGGACTGAAAGGTCCCAGGTTTGATTCAGGTTGGGGGCATGTACCTTGATGCTGGCACATCTCCAGTGGGGGGTGTGCAGGAGGCAGCTGATCGATGTTTCTCTCGTCGATGTTTCTGACTATCCCTCTGTCAATAAAATATATAAAAATCAATAAAATATATTTAAAAAAAGAAAAGAAAAGAATTTTATGGTTGGGGTTCACCACAAAATGCGGAACTATATTAAAGGGTCGTGACATTAGAAAGGTTGAGTTTTATATTTTGTAGGAGTTAATTATCAACCATTAAAAAAATATCTTTGATAATTGAAAAAAAAAAAAAAAAAAAAGAAAGAACTACTGCTAGGGCATCTGAATTTCCTCTCCTGACTTTCCAGTTAGGTTGCTCTGCTCATTACATCATTGTGGGGGGGAACCAACTCCTTGAAATATATCCAATTTAGAGATTATGTAATGGTCTAAAATTAAAAGTGTGGGATATATAAAACACTTTGAGGATCCAGAGTTATTCAGAGATAGACTATCACCTCTATCAGCTGAAATAGGTTGGTGAGGCCCAGAGGCCCATGGTCAGAGAAAGCAGAGGCTTCAATAGGAGCTCCAGACAGAGAGGGCCCACACTTGGAGTTATAGGTCATGCTCACATCTGTGTGAATGCTTGTGAGTGAGAGAAAGATGGAGAGAGAGAGAATAAAGGTTAATAATTTTCCCAAAAACTTTAGGGAGGGCATTTATTTTAGATATAAATCTTTGTTTTATCTATCAGTTTTTTTCTTTAATTTGATTCTTGGTTTATATTCATTCAAGATGTTATTAATTATATTTATTTTCCTCAGAATAGAAATAGTTTCCTCTATGATTAAAATATTTGAAAACAAAAACCTGTAATTCTATACCCTATTTTAACCATTGTGATAGCATTTTTATAGTAGTTCTTTGTCATTTTTAAAATCTAGTTTAAGCATTTATAACCACATTATACAATTTTATATTGTATTTCATTGTTTACATGGAAAATGCTAGTTATAATGCTTGGCACATAGTAGGCACTTAATAAATATTCACTAAAATTGAATTATTGACATTTTTATGTAATCTTTGAACATCACTTAAAAATATATTTTTATTGATTTCGGAGAGGGAGAGAGAAAGAAACATCAATAATGAGAGAGAAACATTGATCAGCTGCCTCCTGCACACTCCCCACTGGGTATGTGCCCGCAACCAAGGCACATGCCCTTGACCAGAATCGAACCTGGGACCATTGAGTCCCCAGGCCAACGCTCTATCCACTGAGCCAAACCGGCCAGGGCTTGAACATCATTTTTAATGGGCCATCAAGTGGCTCTCTATACTATAGTTCATTTTCCATTATCCTACTGTTGGATATTAAGTTATTTCTAATTTTTCTCTATTTTTAAAAATACATTGCATAATTTGATGTAGATTGCTTTCCCAGATGCATATAGCCTTTTCTGTGCATAAGATTATTTTCTTAGGATAGAGTCCCAGAAGTGATTATGTGCTAAATTAATTATTAGTCAGGGACAGATTAGTAATTAATCAAGGAACAGAATACAACTGAGAAATATTTTGTTAATTTTGCTGGGGAGTACAGGATTAATCTGGCTTCCACCAGGGCTGTATCAAGTAGCTCAGTTTTACACATGCAGGGCTTTGTCTCTTTGCTTCCCTTTGGCTGACTCTTGCCACCTGGTGGTAAAAATGGGCATTGATAATTTTTTGTGGTTTATAATCTTGATAAGAATCTTAAGAAATATTATTTGATTTGGATGGTTTAACTATTGTCTTGTGTTTGACCCTGAAACAATGAATTGCAATGGTTGAGGATGTGAAGTACCCTTTTTTTTTTTTTTTATTAATTTTAGAGAGAAAGGAGAGAGAGAAACATTAATTTGTTATTCTATTTATGCATTCATTGATTCTTTTTTTTATTTTTTATTTTATTTTTTATTTTTTTATTTTTTAAATATATTTTATTGATTTTACACAGAGAGGAATTGAGAGGGACAGAGAGTTAGAAACGTCGATGAGAGAAAAACACCAACCAGCTGCCTCCTGCACACCCCCCACTGGGGATGAGCCCGCAACCAATGTACATGCCCTTGACCAGAATCGAACCCGGGACCTTTCAGTCCGCAGGCCGATGCTCTATTCACTGAGCCAAACCGGTCCCGGCTGATTCTTTTTTTTTTTTTTTAAATATATTTTATTGATTTTGTACAGAGAGGAAGAGAAAGGGATAGTTAGAAACATCAATGAGAGAGAAATATCAATCAGCTGCCTCTTGCACATCCCCTACTGGGTATGTGCCCACAACCAAGGTACATGCCCTTGACCAGAATCAAACCCAGGACCTTTCACTCCGCAGGCCGACGCTCTATCCACTGAGCCAAACCGGTTTCGGCCATTGATTGATTCTTGAACGTGCCCTGATCAGGGATCAAACATGCAACCTTGGCATATTGGGATGATGCTGTAACCAACTGAGATACTCAGCTGGGACATAAACTACCTTGATTGTCTAAGCCTGTGTTGTCGTGCCCGCAATAGACAGTTAGGTCAGCTCTAATCAAATTACATGGACTGACCAGATTACTTTAGAATGTAATAAATATGTTTTCTCAGGAAAGAATGTTGGCAGTCAGGTAAAGGATATCTGTTGTAAATGTTTTATTAAGTATCAGTAAGTTATTTAATAACTAGAGGCCCAGTGCACAAAATTTATGCATAGGTAGGGTCCCTAGGCCTGGCTGGTGATCAGGGCCAATTGGGTCCTTCATTTTGTGCTGCCCTTTAGTGGTCAGCACACATCATAGCGAGTGGTCAAACTCCCAGTAGGACAAACTCCTGAAGAGACAATTTGCATATTAGCCTTTTATTATATAGGATTATTGCAGAATTTAATTATTTTTAAATTAACTTTATTAAATGTTATATCACTCTTGATAGCCATTGCTAGATGATTTCTAAAAATTTATACTAATTCTAGCAATATTTTTATTTTAATATATTCTCATTAACTTTGGGTACTGTTATTTTCTAAATATTTTGCTAATTTAATAGATTAAAATTTGTACTTTGTATTTCCTTTTTTCACTTAACATTTATGACAATTATCTTTTATAACTAATTTATTTTTTTATTTTATTTTAAAAAAATGTATTTTATTGATATTTTACAGAGAGGAAGGGAGAGAGATAGAGAGCCAGAAGCATTGATGAGAGAAACATCGATCAGCTGCCTCCTGCACATCCCCTACTGGGGATGTGCCTGCAACCAAGGTACATGCCCTTGACCAGAATTGAACCCGGGACCCTTCAGTGACCAGAATTGAATCCGGGATCCTTAAGTCCGCAGGCTGACTATCCACTGAGCCAAACCGGTTTCGGCTATAATTGTAATTTAAATAGCTGCTTACTCTTGCTTTTGATAGATTTACCATACCTTACCAAGGTATTTCTCAATTATTGGATATTTAGGTTATTTAAATTTTTTTATTTTTAACCTTTGTAGGTAATAATACTGCAAGTATTTTTTTTTTCTGCAAGTATTTTTATATGCCCATAGGTTTTTACCTCTATGAAGTTTTTCTTTTGGAAAAATTTCAATGATGATATTTTTGCATCAAAGGTATAAACATCTTTATGCCCTTTGTTTTAAGAATTTTATCAACTAGTATTTTTTAAAAAAATATATTTTATCGATTTTTTACAGAGAGGAGGAGAGAGGGATAGAAAGCTAGAAACGTCGATGAGAGAGAAATATCGACTAGCTGCCTCTTGCACACCCCCTACTGGGGATGTGCCCGCAACCAACGTACATGCCCTTGACCGGAATCGAACCTGGGACCTTTCAGTCCGCAGACCGACGCTCTACCACCGAGCCAAACCGGTTTCCACTCAACTAGTATTTTTATTGTATAGTTATTGTATCATATCTTACTAACATTGAACACTATTTTAAAGAATATTTGTGCTGAAACCGGTTTGGCTCAGTGGTAGAGTGTCGGTCTGCGGACTGAAAGGTCCCGGGTTCGATTCCTGTCAAGGGCATGTACGTTGGTTGCGGGCACATCCCAGGTGTGGGGTGTGCAGGAGGCAGCTGGTCGATGTTTCTCTCTCAACGTTTCTGGCTCTCTGTCTCTCTCCCTTCCTCTCTGTAAAAAATCAATAAAATATATTTTTAAAAAGAATATTTGTTAGTTGATTAGATATAAAAAGTGATCTTGAATAGTTTTAATTTGCAATTTTAAATTAATGATTTTTTTTTTTAGTGAATTCCCAACTTCCATCTTCTTGTTACCTTGTTATTTAGAGTATAAACACCAGATGTAGAGCATCACACCAGACATACCTTGTGCTTTATTTCTTTTTCTTGTGCCCAGGTCTGGTCCATCGAACTCATATGTCATCCTGTCGTGTGGATAAGCCTTCTGAGATAGTAGATGTTGGAGACAAAGTATGGGTGAAGCTTATTGGCCGAGAGGTAAAGTTCTGTGCTAATTTCATTTGGTTAGAAAGGATTAGGAAAAGCCAGGATTTTCTTGATATTTTAATGTGGTGTGTATATGTTATTAATTGTGGCTGAGAATTTTATTTTGAATCCTGCCCCATAATCTGTCCTGAATATAAACCTTCTGGTTCTCCTCTCAAACTGAGAAGGAATGATGTAAACTACAATAAGTGTAGTACAAAAGACGTAGAGTTTACAGTCACTTTTCCTAATACCTGGCACCATGCAACATGAGGAAAGTGAGAAAGCTCTGGAGGACCCTGTTACAGCTCACTTGATATGTGGGTTCTGGGTCATCCATTCATAAGTAATTTTATAATTTTTATTTTTAACCTTTGTAGATAATAATACTGCAAGTATTTTTATATGCCCATAGGTTTATGGGAAGACCACAGGAGAAATATGAGCATATACTGAGGTCTGCTCTGCTATCAGGGGATACAGCCTGAAAGAGATACTATTCAACAGTATTCAAGTGCTTTATATGCATTAGGTCAGAAGGACACAGAGTGAACTAGACATAGATGACCCCAGCTGTTATAGAGCTTATAACTGGAGGAGAGAAAGAAAAAGTAAACAAAATAATTAAAAATTATTGTAAGTGCTATAATGGGTTCAAACAATATCAGAGGTAGGTTTAGATAAAGTCGTCAGGAACGGGCTTTCTGAGGAGATGGCGTATGAACTGGGAAGGAAGTAGTCATGAAAAGCTGGGATAAATATATTCTTGGTAAAGAATAGCTGGTCAAAGACCCTGAAGTAAAGAAGGGCTTCAGATGCTGGAGGAAGCAAAAGAAGACCAAAGTGGCTAACAATTGTCCTCATATATATAGAGGATCTAGGCCAAGTCCAAAGGAGATCTAGCCTATTGGAATGTTCTGAAACCCATTCTGTGCTCGTGGATCTCTGCATCAATCACTATGCTGAGTTTACCTGGAAGAAACAACTTTTATTTTCTGCTGGGTCACTGACAGAACTTGGATTTGGGGACAACTGTTTTTGTCTTTCCCCCCAAGAGGGGCAAAAAGAGATGAAAACCATTTCCTAAAATTCTTCTACCACAGAGCCTGCCTATTATGCTGGTTAGCACCACCAGTGCTCGTAGCACAGGACCTTGGCTATTAGAGGAGTACTGTTTGTTATGATGATAAAAATTTCTATTTTTAGATAATTCTAGATCAGTGGTCTAAATGATGTACTTTGACCCTTTAGTGACTTGGTTTTCATCTTTTTCAGATGAAAAATGATAGGATAAAAGTATCTCTCTCCATGAAAGTTGTCAACCAAGGGACTGGGAAGGACCTCGACCCCAACAACGTTATCATTGAGTAGGTAAAAGGTTTGGGAATGCTAATTGAGAGATTCTTCTATCTCTCAAACCATGGAGTGCTATAGTGAATCAGGCTGACGGGAAACCCTGCCATTATTAGACTGTGTATTGATGAGCTCTGTAACCTCTGTGTCCTTGGATTTTAGAGGTACAGTATAGTGTTATATATAACACTTGTAACACGCAAAGCTCCCAGCACCAAAGTGCTCCCTTGTGGGTTTTGTTTCTTTTCCTTTACTCTTTTTCTGCTTCTGCCCTTTAGCCAGTCAGCAAGCAAGTATTCATGAAGTACTGTTATTTGCCACTCTCCTAGCACTGGGACTAAAAAAGGAAGAGACCCATTGGGAGGGGAGGGTAATCTAGGAGCAACTCCAATATGGTTTAGCTGCCTGTGTCTTGGGATGCACTGTATTCTGAACACTACTTCTTACTTTCATTGCACTTCTTTTTTTTCTTTTTTAAAATATATTTTTATTGCTTTCAGAGAGGGAGATAGAAACATCACTGATGAGAGAAAATCATTGATCAGCTGCCTCCTGCATGTACGCCGCCACCTCCCCCCCCCCACACACACACACACACTCTGGGGATTGAGACCGCAACCTGGACATGTGCCCTTGACTGGAATTGAACCTGGGATCCTTCAGTCCACAGGCCGATGCTATATAAACTGAGCCAAAGCAGCTAGGGCTCATTGGCTCTTCTGACCTTTAATTTGGCAGTAGAAGAATTTCTATTTAGGATAATGTCTGGTGATACAGGGAATTTACCATCTGTACCTCTTTTTTTTTTTTTTAAATATATATTTTATTAATTTATTTAATTTTTTTTTTTTTACAGAGAGGAAGGGAGAGAGAGAGAGAGAGAGTTAGAAACATCAAGGAGAGAGAAACATTGATCAGCTGCCTCCCGCACAACCCCCGCTGGGGATGTGCCCGCAACCAAGGTACATGCCCTTGACCAGAATCGAACCTGGAACCTTTCAGTCTGCAGGCTGATGCTCTATCCACTGAGCCATACTGGTTTTGGCGCATCTGTATTTCTTGAATATATGCCAGTGATTTCTAACCAGGGGCTCCTAGGTCCTTTTTGGTTGTTTTTGTTTTTTTATTTTCTATTTTTCCCCCTAGATCCTTAAAACCTCTTCAAAAGGAGTCTTAGGGATTTATGAACTGTTTCCAGTGTTTCAGAAAACCAACCAAAATCATACATTTATCCTCACGTTAACCATGACATTATGTTGTTGCTTTTGATGATAAAAGTTTCATATTTAACTCATACTAATCAGGTGCTCTCACTGATAATTATGATATCAATTTTTAGAAAATAAGAAAAAAAATGTTGCATGAGTGATATCTTGATGGTGAAAAGTTTGGAAACCCTACATTTATTGTACTCAGTGAAATCACTTTGGATATGAAGGTATTTTATCTAAAAGGAAGGGAAGTGATATTTATTGAATACATACTATGTGCCAGGTATTGTGCAAGGCAGTTTATGTACATTAGTGCATCTGATTCTCATAACAACCTGCAAAGTAGATATTTTCTCCATATTACTTATATCTCTAGTCTCTAACATGATGCTTGTAATAACTTGCCTAGGGTTTTATAGAAAATCATAGTGGGTTATGATTTTTAATCTCAGTCTCCCTGACATTAAAACTAATCCCCTTTATACTATATGATGCTTCTAGCAGTTACATGCAATTTACAGAATTTTTCATATATCTGTAATTTAGTCTCTAAATATTGATAAGTTTGTAGGGCTGATTATTGACAAAACACTTTTCATTTATAGTAGGAATCTTTTATAACTCTGCTCAGAAATGTTATCTAATTCTGGCATTTATCAATTGCATTATAATAAACTGCTTCCGCTCCAAATAATTTTATGCTGTGCAGCCTCATTAAAAACCAGTAAAATTTCCCAAAGCCACCCTTGCAAGGGTAAAATATGAAAATAAGTAAGATAAAAGAGCTACCTCTCTTTCTCAAAACAAGAATAGGGAAGGGAGCTGAAACTGGTTTGGCTCAGTGGTAGAGCATCTGTCTGCAAACTGAAAGTCCCAGGTTTGATTCTGGTCAGGGGCATGTACATTGGTTGCGGGCACATCCCCGGTAGGGGGTGTGCAAGAGGCAGCTAGTTGATGTTTCTCTCTCATCGACGTTTCTAGCTCTCTATCTCTCTCCCTTCCTCTCTGTAAAAAAAAAAAAATCAATAAAATATTTTTTAAAAGAATAGGGAAGGGAAAAGGCTTTCTGGGTATACACTGGATGTGTTTCCATGTATAAACTGTTTCTAGTAATAACCAAGTGGAAGCAGTACTTTGTTAAAACTATTTGTAGAGCTGCATCCAGGAAAGAAGCATGGCATGGTGAAATGATGACAGGTTTTAGAGTAGACCTGAATCAGAAAGAGTTCTAATTCTGCCCCAGAGTAGTATGACTTTGAGCAATTACCTAGCCTCCCTGAACTATAACTTCTTCACTATAAAATGACACCTACCTCTCAGAAATGATAGAATGATTTAAATGAAATCTTGTTTGTAAAGAGCCTAGCTTATTGTTTAGTCTATCATAGAAACTTAATTTATAATAACTAATTGTGGTTACTGCTTTAAAATGTCTCTTTGTTTTTCTTCTAACATCTGAAATCATATCTTTCAAAAGAATAAATGGGAAAATGGGCTACATCTTAACTTTCTTATTTCCCATTGTATCTAATGTATAGCAGTCATTTAGTTAGTGTATTCATTTATTCCTTCATTCAACAAGTGTTTTGGGTTCATATTCTGTTTGAGGTAGAATGGCAATACCAAGATTTCTGCCCAAGGACCTTACTGCTTAGTGTAATGAAATAATTATGCAAATAACTTTAATTAGTGCTAAAAGAGTGGTTGAAAGAAAGGATTATAGTCCTGGCTCAGGGTCGCTCCATAGGTGTAGGTTGGAGCATCGTCCTGTACACCCAAAAGTCACAGGTTCTATTCCCAGTCAGGGCCCATATCTCGGTTGTGAGTTCAACCCCTGGTTGGTGCATGGAAGGCAACCAGTGTTTCTCCCTCTCCCTCCCTCATTTCCTTCCTTCCCCTCTCTCCCAAATATCAATGAGCATGCTCTCGGGTGAGGATTAAAAGAAAGAAAGAAAGAAAGAAAGAAAGAAAGAAAGAAAGAAAGAAAGAAAGAAAGAAAGAAAGAAAGAAAGAAAGAAAGAAAGAAAGAAAGAAAGAAAGAAAGAAAGGATTCTAGGAATTAGCTTGAAGAGAAAGAGTTGACTTAAGGCTCTGGTGATAAAGAAGTGGCATTTGAGCTAGTTCTTGAGGAATGGATAAGATTTTGTCAGGCAGCAGCAGAAGGAATGGCATTCGGCGCAGTAGAAATGGTTTGAGGAGCCTGGCCATTGTGTTTCAGTGGTTGAGCATCAACCCATGAATCAAGAGATGTCCATCTAGAGAAAGTAAAGTAGTCTGGGTGGCTAGAGCATACTGTACAAGTAAAGATGAGGCTGGAAAAATAGGTTAGACAGTAAAAGGACTTGAATGCCAAAGTAAGGAATTTGGACTTGTTTTTCCAGGAAGCCTTTAAAGGTCTTTTATATCCAGGCGTGATCTTGTAAGCGTTGTAGGGGACTTAGCAAGATGCATAATTATCTCTTTATCCTCTGTGCATCGATGAGATGAAGTCTAGTTTCATTCATAATTATTAATTTAGAGCCTTGTCCTGAATGAAAAAAAAGATGTCTATTTCACGCCATTGTTTTTAGTGCCCATCTCCTTATGCCCAACACTTTTCCTTCTTTCTTTCTTCTACCTGACAAAAGCAAAACAAAAACCAACATACAGCATTACCTTGTAGTATCTCTGGCCACATCTCTTAAGTAAGCGGGCCCACAGTCACAGTATCCTTTTCATTACAGGCAAGAAGAGAGGCGGAGGCGGTCCTTCCAGGATTACACTGGGCAGAAAATCACCCTTGAGGCTGTCCTGAACACTACCTGTAAGAAGTGTGGCTGTAAAGGTAAGGTGAAGCCTCTGCCATTTCAGTCTGTCTCTCCTTGGGGGCAGACCCTGTATTGGATGAATAAGTAGCCTAGTGAGTTTAGTTCACCCTGTTTTTAAGCCAACAGATGGCTTGACCTGTTCATGCTATTATTTCTACCAGACTTACATCAGAGTTCATGGCTTGCTACTTTTTCTGTTTCCTTTTCTGAATGCTAGCTCTGCTGCTGGCTCTGGTGGTGACCTTATTATACTATCACCACCTCTTCTCACCTCTCTGCAGCTAATGCCCTACCTGGGCAAGGTCCCAGGTACTCTGCCAGGAAGGTAAGAGTGTTGGATTATGATTAACACTCTAATAAATTTTATCTCCAAAGTATCATTATTGTTCTGCTGCAATAATTAAGCAATTTAGAAATATATTCCTTAAGGATTCAAGTTAAACCCTTTCTTGCTCATCTCTTTTAACTTCAGAGTTCTGAATGCAGTATCCTTTTAGTAATAAAGAACACCCTCTAGTCATTTCCTTTTAGCTTTGCTTCCTCAGGTTTCCTCTAGTCTTACTCAAATATTAAAGAGCTCTTTCAGCCAGACTTCCTTGTTGGAGCAGTAATGAGAGGGATTGCCAACTTCTCATTTCAGAGTGGCCTCAATTTGTCACCATGCTCCCGAGCTTTCCATCTACCTAGCCTTGCTGATTTTTCTATTTGTGCCCTGGTTGAGGTTGTGGGGTTTAAGCCCCTGTTTATCATTAATGCAAAGGGAGAAAGGAAAAATGAAATGGAGAGAAAGAATACCTCCTCAGAGGAATTGTGGGAGCATTTCAAATATTTGGAAAACTATGCTGTATTCTTCTTTCAGGCACCATCCAGCTTCTGGATTCTGAGTTAGAAAGTAGTTTACATGTTGCTTTTGATGGTTTTATCCAATTCGCTGTGCCCCTGAGATAGGGTCTACAGTAAGCTCAGGCAAAAACCAGCTCTGTGGCATCTTTTAAAGGGGCCCTTGATAGCACTGTAGGCTCAGGGAAGGTGGGGTCTTCTTACCTTCAACTTGTGTCCACCAGGTATGACATGAGGCAGAGAAGAATTATGAGAGGGAATTTGGCCAGTCGGCAAAGGCTGGGCCAAAGGTGGTTGGCTTTGGTGCAGTAGAAAGAGTACAGGGCAGGGGGGCACAAGACCCTAGGTAAGTTTTACTTCTGCTGCTATCTGTGTGACCTTGCACTACTTCTCTACTCTGGGCCTTCATTTTCTCTGCAGATGCAGTGTTGGATTTGATTATTTCTAAGGCCCTTGCCAGACCTGACAGTCTGTGCATGTCAAGTGCCCTAGGTGACTGTGCCTGTCTCTGTGTGTGTTAGCTTGGATGCTGTCCTCCTGCCAGCTGTCTGAGAGCTATCTTTCTTCAGGACCTTGGTCTGCCACTTGGCTCACTCTGCTAAACATTCTGCTCTCTGGAACAGCCTTTTGCTGTCAGGAATAAGTTCCAAATAGATCTTTAAAAATGACTAAGCTTCATTGCTAATAGAGTGCAGTACCAGCCTGCATCCTCTGTATCTTCTGCTGTTTTGAAAGCAGCACTGGTGTTTCCCACAGCTTCAGGACCAGCTGGAAGTCAGGCTCAGGTTGAGTAAACAATGTCATCTTGAGGTGACAGAAAATCTGTCCCAAATCCAAAAGCTGCTCTGAATGAACTTGGTAATACCTCCTGAACAAGCTAGCCCTTCCAGGAGTCTCTGGGGAAGCTTCACCTGCTGAGAAGAACGATTACTTTTTCCTCCCAACTTTTCTACTTCTCTTCTGCAGGCCACTTTGCAAAGGATTGTTTCATGCAACCAGGTGGGACCAAATACTCTCTGATACCTGATGAGGATGAGGAGAAGGTAGAGGCAAAGGCAGCAGATTTTGATAAGGCTGACCCTACAAAGAATTCTAGGAAAAGAAAGAAGGTGAGTGCCATTGTGCTTTTATTTTATTTATCATGTTTTTTGTTTTAGAATGAAAATGTACTTTACACAGAAATGTAAGAAAAGCTGAAAAATATAAAGAACATTAGAATCTCTTGTTATCTTTCTATCCAGAGAAACTCTTAAAGTATTTTTGGTATGTTCTAATGTTTTATAGGTAATATTTAATACACACACACATATACACACAAAATTATAGTTATCTAGACATAATTTATACCCTACTTTTATTATACTTACTTAAAGCATTTTCTGGTGTCCTTATATGTTCTTCAAAAACTTGATTTAAGAGCCACTGTGTGATGTTTTATTTAATAACTAGAGGACTGATGCATGAAATTTGTGCAAGGGTGGGCCCTTGCAGCCCCAGCTTCATCCGGAAGGTCGTCCAGACAGTTGTTCTGCTGTTCGGTCTAATTAGCTTATTCGTCTTTATTATATAGGATTTTTCTATTGTTGGATATTTTTTATTATTTCCAACCTAAATTTTTGGCCACATATCTTATTGTTTTCTTTGGTTGCATTCTTAAAAAGATTACTGAATTAGGGCTTTAAGGCTCTTAATACATTTTGTCAAATTATTATACCAGAAAGTGTTGGATGAGCATGTCTGTCTCAGTGAATTAAGTCTCTTACCTATGTAGTACTTACAGCAGAAGAATTCATGAAACAGATTGTGGAGCACAAAAGCTGCATTTGTAATTTGTCACATGATACACAGAGGAAATGAAAAACTATGCAACGGTTTGGTCAAGAGATAGTGGTTCTCATGCTGTGTAGTATTTTTCTAATTGTGGCCAGTTATTACGTTTGGGAGTTTTGTTTTGTTTTGTTTAAAGCTTTAGCAAACTTTTGTTGTGCCCACCTTGTTTCAGACATTGCAAACTGAGGAATATAAAAACTGTGATCAAGTCCTTGCTCTCAGTGAGCATTATCCTACAAATTAAGTATTATCTTCACCCTGGTGGCATGGCTCAGTGGTCAAAGATGTCAAGTGGGTAGTCGAATATCTAAATCTAAGGTTTCAGAGAAAAAGTGAGGGATAGAATTACAGATTTGGATTTTTTTAAAAAGATACAAACACTTAATTTGGGGATTATTTGCATAAAATTGTATGTAAAACCACAGGACAGGAAGAGATTCCGTAGGGGGAAGGTAGCCAGAGAAATTTTAAAATTTCTTACCCAAAGCTGCTCCTTTTACATTCTGCTCTATCTCAGTGAATAGATTACCATTCACCCAGTTGCTTAAGCCAAAATCTTCAGCCTTTGGGTATGTTTGTTTTTTAATTGTGGTAAAATACAGATAACATAAATTTTATCATCTTAACCATTTTGAAAGTGTACATTCTTTGACATGAAGTAAATTTGTACTGTTGTGCAATCAATACTGCCATTTATTTCCAGAACTCTTCATCTTGCAAAACTGAAAGTCTAGGCACATTAAACAATAATTCCTCATTTTCTCCTGCCCCAACCCCTGGAAACCACTATTCTGCTTCTGTCTCTATGATTTAGACTTCTCTAGAAACCTTATTAAGTGGAATCATACAGTCTTTGTCTTTTGGTGACTGTCTTGTTTGACTTAGTATAATGTCCTCAGGGTGTAGCATGTGTCAATCTTTTTAATATTTTATGTATGTATATACTATATTTTACTTATTCATTTATTCATTGTTGACACTTGGGTTGCTTCCACAGCTTGTGCAAGAGGCAACTAATTGATGTGTTTCTCTCACATTGATGTTTCTGTCTTTCCCTCTCACTCTCCCTAAAAAATCAATGGAAAAATATCCTCTGGCGAGGATCAACAACAGGAACAAAAAATCTTTAGTGATTTTTTTCCATTATACTTAAAATCCAGAATACCTCCTGTGAAAACAAACTGTCTAACCCTATTCGTTTTCAGCTACAACCTTTAGCAGGTAGTAACTTATATCTAGCTAAAACATTGTTTTGTCTTTTTTATGTGTTTTATTATTTTTTATTATATATTTTTTATTGATTTCAGAGAAGGGAGAGGGAGAGAGTGATAGGAATATTAATGATGAGAATCATTGATTAGCTGCTTCTTGCATGCCCCAAAAAGGGATTGAGCCTGCAACCCAGGCATGTGCCCTTGACTGGAATCAAACCTGGGACCCTTCAGCCCATAGGCCGACGCTCTGTCCACTGAGTCATACCAGCTAGGGCTATGTGTTTATTTTTATAGTTCTCTTTTATGTACGGCAAGGAATGTAAGATTTATATTTACAGTTGTATAAAGTTTCCCTTTCAAGAAAAAAAAATTTTTTTTCCATTCACTGGTGGGGTCCCCAGGTCTGGCCTTTGTGCTCTTGCAATCTGGGACCCCTCAGGGAATGTTGAACTTCTTGTTTTGGCCCAATCCCTTCAGGCCAGGATCACTGGTGTACCTCAAGAAACATTTTTTAAAATAAAAATAATAAAATTTTAAGTAAATAAATAGCAAGTTATAAACACATGGAAGAAAAATTGTGGCAATATTATAGCAATAACTAATACTTGGAAAACATTGATTTAGAGCAGTGGCAGTGTTATTTTAGTTTGATAATATTCTATGAATCAAAGAAATAGAAATTAGCAAAAGTCCCTGCTTCTAGTGCCTTCCAGAAGCCTTCTGCAAACCTTTAGCATTGCCACATTTAGCCTGGTTCCTTCACAGAGGCAACCCTGGATCCACCCCGCCTGCAGTATTGCTTTATTTTGAACATAGGACTTGGCTTTACATACCTTTATTTCTTGAAGTTTCTGAAGCATCCTGTAGATCTGAGGACTTGATTTAAAAAGGAAAAAGGAAAGTTTCAACTACATAATTTTTTTATTCTATACTAGAGGCCTGATGCATGAAATTCATGCAAAAGTAAGCCTTCCGCCAAAACCGGTTTGGCTCAGTGGATAGAGTGTCGGCCTGCAGACTGAAAGGTCCTGGGTTCGATTCCGGTCAAGGGCATGTACCTTAGTTGCGGGCACATCCCCAGTAGGGGGTGTGTAAGAGGCAGCTGATCGATGATTCTCTCTCATTGATGTTTCTAGCTCTCTATCCCTCTCTTTTCCTCTCTGTAAAAAAATCAATAAAATATATTAAAAAAAAAAAAAGTAAGCCTTCCTTCCCCCGACTGATGGCTCCAGGTCCCTCCAGCACTTGGAACCCTGGCTTTTTTTTTTTTTTTTTTAATATATTTTATTGATTTTTTTACAGAGAGGAAGAGAGAGAGATAGTTAGAAACATCCATGAGAAAGAATCATCGATCAGCTGCCTCTTGCACACCCCTCACTGGGGATGTGTCCGCAACCAAGGTGCATATCCTTGACCAGAATCGAACCTAGGACCTTTCACTCCGCAGGCTGACGCTCTATCCACTGAGCCAAACCGGTTTTGGCAACCCTGGCTTCTTTCGCAGCCCCGGCTTTGTCTGGAAGGTTGTCTGGTCTAATTAACATATTATGCTTTTATTATTGTACACTAGTGGCCCAATGCACGAATGAAGATTTGTGCAAGAATGGGCCTTCTTTCCCCTGGCTGCCGGTACCGCCTTCACTTTGCCTGGAACAGCCTTTGTGCTCCGGCCTGGAGCCCCCTTTCTGCCTTCCCACACTGCCCAGAGGCCAGGAGTGGCTGGGTGGTGCAGAACACCTACTTCCCACCCTGCCCCTGGCCACTCAGTGCCTGTGTATGCAAATTAACCTGCCATCTTTGTTGGGTTAATTTGTGTCCTGCTGATTGGTGGGCGTCGTGAAGGGCGGTCAATTAGCATGTTACTCTTTTATTAGATAGATAATAAAAGGCTAATATGCAAATTGACCAAATGGCAGTAACGGCCAGTCAGTATGATGCACACTGACCACCAGGGGGCACACACTCAATGCAGGAGCTTCCCCCTGGTAGTCAGTGTACTCCCATAGGGGGAGCGCTGCTCAGTCAGAAGCAGAGTCACTACTGAAGGTTGTCCGGCTGACGGTTTAGGCTTAGGTCCACTAAGCCTAAGCCATTAGTTGGATATCCCCTGAGGGCTCCCAGACTGCGAGAGGGCTCAGGCCTGTCTAGGTGTAATAAAAATGTATGTACAGTTTTGTTTTCTACTGTTTTTACTTTGTCATAAGCATCTTGCTGTTTTTATCACATAATCTCAATTCCACTTATTTGAAATGGCTGTACCATATTATTTCAGGCAGGTGTTGGGGAATTGCATTTTTGGAGGCAGTAGAGGGTGATACTTAAGAACCTGGGCAGAGGAAAACAGACTGCCCAAGTTTCATCACAGCTCTGTCTTCTCCTCATTGTGGAATTAGGTTAATTACTGAATTTCTCTGAATCTATTTCCCTATTTGTGAAATGGAAATAATAAGTATCAACTTCAAAAGGTTATTAGGATGCATGTAAAACTCTGAGTACAATGCCAGGCGTACAGCAAAGATCAATATAAGTCAGCTACTAGTAGCTGTTGCATAAAGGCAGAGACTGGGTTTAAGTACAGACCTTGGGTTCAGGATGCTCTTTATATATTCTATATATCAATCCCTTATCAGTTATATAATTTGCAAATATTTTCTCCCTGTGGGTTGCCTTTTTACTCTGTTGTTAGAGTGTTGTCTCCATACACCAAGGTTGGGGGTTTGATCTCTAGTCAGGGTTCATACAAGAAGCCACCAATGAATGCATAAATAAGTGGAATAACAACTCTATGGATGTTTCTCTCAAAAAAAAAAGAGAGAGAGAAAGAAAGATAGAGAAAATTATTGTGTCATGAAGCTTAAGGGTTTTATAATTTTAACTCTTTTTTATAACTTTTTTTCTTATTGGATTGATTTGAGAGAAAGAGAGAAAAAGAGAAAGAAATAAAGAGAGATTCATATTTGTTGCTCTATTTATTTATGCATTCATTGGTTGCTTCTTGTATGTACCCTGACTGGAGATCAAACCTACAACCTTGGCACATCAGGTCAGCACTCTAACTAGTTGAG